TATCAATCGATATTATTTTTTCTGAAATGGCATCCATAAAATGGTCAGCTTTTAAATTAGCTTCCTCACGATAGCTTACATTTCCATGTTTTTCGAATTTTTCTTAGCCCTTTTTCCAATTATTGTACCCCTTTTTAACAAATGTATGAAGTGATTGGTTGAAACTATAATCAGCCTCAGCAGGTGAAAATTATATTCAAAAAGCACTATCTTCAATTTTTTGAAGATGTTAGCCATTTGTATTTAGTTAACAAAAATATATTAAATTCCCTATTTTGATTGCTAATTTGTTGATTAGGAAAATTAAAATTATTATTGGGGACCCAAATATTTTGTAAAACTTGAATTTTTTTCGTTGTCGTTGAGTTTCTTATCGACAAATAATGATATGTCGTTAGAAGAAAAATTTTCATAATTATCAACAATATTATATGTTGACGGCGAAGCAAATAGTTCCTGAGAATGGGTGTTTCGTTGATTTTTGGAATTTTTGGTTTAATACTAATATAGTTAAGTAGAGTACTACTACCACTAGTAGTAGCTGGTGTGTGTTTTTTTACTCATTTTGACTCAGTTTTCTTTACACAGAGACACACAAGTACTACAGCGTATTCACCACAACGGCAAAATCAAACGGTCTAAATTGTCCAAACGATATTTTCATGCCACAGATAGTCGAAAGTCGTATTTAATATTGTTCCTTGGTCAATAACTACCAATAATTTTTTACATTAGATAAACATAGTGCAGAAAACCATGAGAATTTAATCAAATGTATTTTTAAAGAATTCAATATGGATTTGAATAAATGTCGAAGTCAAGGATATGATGGGGCAGCTGTCATGAGTGGAATTTCTTCGGACGTTCAAAAACGAATCATTGACATAATTCTAAGTGCTTCTTATATTCACTGTTCAGCATATAATTTAAATTTAGTGTTGTGTGATTTATCTAAAAACACTCCTAAAATATCTCAGTTTTTTTATATTGTTCAAGACATATTCTTATTTATTAGTAAGTCAGCCCATAGATGAGCATTATTAGTTCTAGGAAATGACACAGCTAAAATAGTTTTCAAAAAATTATTTAATACTAGATAGAAAGCTAAACACAATGCTATATATGCATTAAGAATTAAGTTTATAGCTGTACTAAAACTATTAACAAATATATCACTGACCAGTAATAAACCTGATGAAAAATTAATGGCCACTGGACTGAAAAAAAAAAATTGAATCATTTAAATTTATTTTGTTATTAATAATATGAAAAAATATTTTAAGAAATTTTTATTTAAAAAATTGCAATGAACAGATACTCGTCTTCATGACGCATGTGCATTTTTAAATCAAGCTACAATTTTCATGATAAATTTAAGAAACTAGTATGAAGAAATAGTTTTATCTGCAACTGACCAATGCGATTATGGGCCATACCAATCCAACCAACTATTCACCGTCGTGTTTATTCTAAAAGATTTTTCGGTGATGTAGATGGAGATAGGAGACTTGATATAAATGAAAAAAATCTTCGTGTTGTGGTATTTTTACCACTTATTGATACAGCTATCTTTCAACTCAAAGAAAGGTTCAAAAATCTATACGAAGTAACCAATAAATTTGATTTTCTTGTACCTCAAAATATTTTTAAGTGTAGTGAAAATTATATTGTTAAGGACACTTATGATTTTCAAATATTTTATAAAAATGACATAAGTACAGATATAACTAGGTAAATGTATTAAAGTTGTATTAAAAGATATAGAATCTTTTAATTCCCTAAAAATAATTCACAGCATAAAAAATCTCCTGCAGTATTTATTAGATAATGATATAGCCAGTATGTACAACGATATTTTCAGTTCATGTATTATTTTCTTAACATTACCAGACACAGTAATAAATGCAGAACACTCATTTTCCAAATTTAAAATTATTAAATATTATTTTAGGAACTCCATGCTACAAGTTCGCCTAACAAATATAAGCCTCTTAAACATTGAGCGAAACCGTAAAAATGAATTTGATATGAATAAGATAATAAATTATTTTTTTAATGACAAGGCAAGAAAAAATAATTTTCTTAAATAATTTTTTTGCTGTTCAAACATGTTTTTTTATTTATGTTATTAATTATTAATTATCGTTATTTTGTATTATTTTTTTCTTTTATTATTTGTTGTTTAGCTAATAAATAACACGCATCATAACTAAATATGTACATCGACAAAATATACTACAAATACAAATTATTTTTACAAAAGCCAAAATATTTATGTATAAATATTTATTACTTAATCAAATATTATTCTCAATTAGATAAAATATATAATACTTAAAATTGTTAATTGAAAAATGTTAATTTATTAATAGTTGTCAAATATTTAAGTTGTATGGTTATAAAGAGGATTGAGAGGAATGAAATGCCTCTATTGATTTATGTTTTATTAATGTATTCCTAGGTTTGTTTGAATAACAATGTATTTCCTAATATACAAAAAAATATAACCTATCATTGCTTCAAATTAAGTTGTTTGATTAGTTTCAGAAGTTTTTGATAAAGATGAGTGGGGGAGTACAAATATTTTAAAATTTAAGTAATGTAAACATATATTTTTTATATTTTTTTAAAGAAACAGACTTGTAGCAGATACCTAAAATTGAAATACCGTCTTTAACTGGGGCTGGGAAGAATTGATTAGCTTAGATAAATGAGGAGGGGGCATTAATATAAGATCATCAATTCATCAACGACAATATTTTAACGCCACTGATGAATAGGGGCCTCTAAAATTAGTTTGCACCTGGGCTTCAAAATCTTAATTGTGGTACTGTATATAGTGTTATAGCTCTACAACTCTAGAAAGCAATATGAGATTCTGTCTTTCCACCATGAACTCTCAACTTCCTCAACTTTGTAAAAACCACCCGGGTCCAATTTCTCATCAGTTTTCATACAAATTGTTATTATTATTATTATTATTTTTTTTTTAATTTTTAGTTTTCAAGTTTAAACTTTTAACTGCCAATGTTTATTGAACCCTACAACTCAAATAAATTGTAGGTGTACTTATTATTTTTCTATGTACTGTATTTTTTTTTTTTTTTTGTTATTTCAAAAATTATTCTAAAATATACAGTTAAGATTATTTATTATTTTGATGTTAGGATGACGTGGTGTTTTATTTTAGTGGCTTAAGGTGACATGAACGAGAAAAGGATGGAAACACTGTTATAGTTTGTCACTATGATAATTCGAAAAAGTGAAAATAAATAAGCTGCTACGGTATATGGTAATAAAAATAATTATAACTTTTGAACGATATCAATCGCGATGTGAGCGTTTCGATAATTAAGTTTATAAATCTTAGAACTTGTAATATGTGTTAACATTTTTTCTAATACTTTATGTCTTAATTGTAGAGTCGGTAAAAGTAATGATTAAACGTAATATCGATGCAATGTTTTTTTTTCGTGGTCAATTTAATAAGGGATACGATGATTTCGTTTGGTCAGCATTAACAACATATGTTCCATAAATGCTATATGCAAATGCTAATTTAAATGATTGACGCGAAAATTCTGGTTGTTGATTTTGATATTATTTTGTCATCGCAATACATTGCATTGTACATTTATTTGAATCCTTGCTAAGTATATATAATATGTATCAACATGTCACTACTACACTTTCACAAAAAAAGCACAATTACCATCTAGCTGTTTAATGTGCACGCTGCATGATGCGTTGCAACTCCAGCAGGGCTTGACATTTGCAATTTTTGGCACTACCCTCTGCCTTTTGAATAAATGAATACAGTTGTGATGTAGTCTGTAGTGAAAAAATGATAAGTCTATACTTACTGATATGTGACTTAATAGATTTAATAGATATTTTATAATTTCTTCTGTATTTAATAAAAACCAATTCCTTAATATTTGCTTATGTGGGAAACTGCTTCTGTGACTCCAACGAATACAGTTTTATTACATACTTTACTTCTAGTACTACACAATATGAGCGCATTACACATAATGTTACGTAGTGTGTAAGTTGAAATTTGTAATACTGATTTTATTCGATCGGCAACTTCAGGTGCTACTGCACGAAAGTGTTTGTACTCTGCGTCATCCAACCGTCACACGCCCTTCACACGAAATCGACGAATTTAACGACAGTCGCGTTCGTTGATCCTATACTCGTATTGACCTCATGGTATCGTGTATCCATGTTTCCGGCTGATCAATATCTTGATACTAAACGTTTAGATCAATTGCATTTCCATTCATTGTTACTTCGATGGATTGATTAATCTATGAAATTTAAATTTAAATAGTGGTATACATAAAACGAAAAAGATTCGTTTTTTTTTTTAATATTTTACCATGCGATGGTCAAAATTCTGAAGTATCAATATACAATTTATTTGGTGAAGAGGTAAGTATTAAAATTAAAATAAATTTCATAAAACAAACTTTTCAGTGTCTTTGGGCAGTAGGTAAAAATCCTTAGAATAAGCCCTGGTACCAAGCATTAATTAATTATACTTCATTTATTTTCTTTCATCACTTTCATTTTAATGGATATAACAACTTAACGGCTATAATTCATTAATATTAAAATATATACAATACCATAATTAATTAAATACGTAAATTACATATATATTGTATATTCATTACTCATAACTCATATATATATGGATTTGTCGCTACGGCAAAAAACCATCTTTTTGGTCATAATGATTTGTTCAGTTTTCATTTTTATTTTTCTAAATCGACTGAGATAAATTCATATATGCATTTATCACAGTCGATATAAAAATGTATAGTACATATAATCAACCGGCGTACTCGTGTAGCATAATATTACATATTCATTATGTATTAAAAAAAAAAAGCGTAAAATTATACAACACTTCGTCACTCATTATCCGCCTACCGAACGAAATTTACAAGGTTTATATTTATGTAATAGTGCATGTAATACATCCTTATTACCTAAACTTACCGGACTCGGAATGGTCGTTGCGGATTTTGCTTATTGATGCAACACCACTGCGGTATTATTATTATTCCGACGCGATAGTTATTTTTTTCAGTGCAGTTCCGTTGGCTTTAGACGAACAAGGAAATCGTTATCATTATCATCGTCGATCGTTGGATTTACGATCTCGTTATCAATTACATGTAGAAGGAAAAGCACTTGTGGATGACGCAGATCAAGATCATGATTGTGTCGCGTTGCGGTCGAAACTTAACTAATCAAATGCCGTCGTCGTGATTACCAGCATCGCTGCATAGCGCCTCAGTTTATCAGTAATTATTAATTACAGTAATAATAATATTAATTTCAGTATAATCATAATAGTAATAATTGTAGTGTTATCTTAGTAGTTTATAACGCGCCTCCTAAACTCGATGGTAAACAGTCGTATGTTGTTAAAAAATGTTATAATATTATGATGTTGTACATAGTAACGCGATCCATGACATTCGAATACAATGTCATTGAATGATCAAGGGTGGTTCTAGGACTATTGGTTATTATTTTTTTGACTAACAAAACAATAGCAAGCATGGAATTTGATTAACAAAACGATTAAATCGGTCCACCTGTTTGGCCGCAATACTACGGGAGGCGCGATGTGTTTTTGAGTGAAACCGTGCGGAAATAAATCTAAAAAATAATTTGCAACTATACGAACGACGGTTCCAAATTATTATTTATACATTAGGTATTATTATTTATATTATTATACATATTTTACGGTCGATAGGTAATACTTTGTAACATTAATGTTAGCTAGGTGTTGTAGACGTTATGGTTATTGTTGAAAAAAAGTCACGGTGAGGATCATATAGATCTCTTATATCTCCTATATCTCCTTAATGGCTACTCCGCTTTAGATACAAATTGATAGTACGCAACGTCGCGTCGAAACCGCTCTGTACATAAAATTCGATATGCTTACACGCCAGACGGACGCAGGTTGACGTACACACTACATACGACTACGTGATATCTATATAATGATGATGTTAATAGTAATAATAACATGGTATTATGTACATACATGCACGAGTGAGAAACAAGAAAAACGAAATGTAGCGATAACGCACTACACTCGCCTCACGGGCGAACTTTGAATCGGCAATGACGATTATAATGATAATATTATTGTAAAACGACGACCTGTATCATAAAATTATAATCGCCTGTGCAATAAATTCGAAGCCGAACGGATAACAAGATCGGGTGCGCTCGCACTGTACTGCGTATTGTCTATCCGGATATGAAGGAAATATTACAAAACATGAGCACGGACACACACTATTGCAAGTATTTTATAAAATACAAAATTTAATCCAATCAATTTTCTATATCCGTTTAACCATACATAGGTATGTCTTATATATAAATTATTTATCAAATGAATGATACTTGTACAGTGTATCGTATAAAATGTTTAGTATAATAAATGCTCAACGAATATTTTGTTCAACTTCACACCGAATGAATACACTGAAAGGGTTAAAAAATTATGCCATTGGAAAAAAGATTTTTGTGCGTTCTTTCACGTATTAATTCACTGGTCGTGTAAGTCCAAAAATAGTGCGTACTACGATAGACTTGGTGTACCTCGAAAAGTTAAGTGAGTATAAAAAAAATGTGTATAAAAAAATTACAATTAGAAAATGTGTTAACGAAGCAACGATAATAGACCTGAAGAAAATGAGTAGGAAAGATATCCCATCTAGTGATGAAACCATTTAAATGTTTCGGCTAGAAATTTGACATGGATTGTTTTTAATTTAAAATAGCGTGACACCAACCGATGAGGACGACTCATAACCAAAGGACAACGAGTGGGATTGTCAGGAATTGTAACTGTGTGTTTTCTAGCAATTAATGGATTAGGATGAAGAAAAAATTTGGAGTGAAATATTTTGTAGTGTGTTTTAACTAACTTTTCAATCGAAGGTCTGTGTGAAGAGTAATACTTGATATATACCAAGGAGCGGACATGATTAAACGAAGTGAGATCGATTGGTAAGCTTTAATTATTTTCAGTTGCGATGGTTTAGTTAAATTGGTACAACCCTAAGTTCTTAAAAAGTGAGTTCTTAAAAACCTATACTGGTTATTATGTACTATGTAGGCAAATTAAATACTTTCGGTGGAGCACAATAATGAAATAAAGCAATAACTCATAACTTCCGGTGCTCTTGGTAGGCAAAATCAATTTATCATTACTAACATAGGCGTGTGCAAGAGGTATGCAAGGCATGTACCTATCATATACCTTAAACAGAGGCTTTTTCTTTAAAAATTACCATTGAAATAAAAATTATAAAATATTTGCTCTTTTCATTTATATTGCACATATATGATTTTATTATTATACTATAATTATTATTTTATTTTTGATACACAAATAATATACTAATGTAATAATGAATAATGATTTAATGTATTAAATAAAATTAAGATGTACTGCGCTTTAAGACATTTTTGAAAATCTTCAGGAATACAGTAAGAAAATTAAATGTATTTTTTTATCTGTGAATAACCAAATTTTTAAAATGTACATTTATTTATGTTATATATTTATTTTACAGCATTTCTAAGAAGAATAATTAAATTAATTAATAGATAAATTATCATACAGTATCATTATGGATAATTTCCTGTAAAATATAAATAAATATTGATAATATTTTCTCGTATTTCATTTATTGACCGTTTTAATAAACGGTTCAAGTTATTTTAGGAAATGTATTGTGTTAAAAAAATTGAGTATTTCAAGTAATAAAATCTAACGTGCAGTATAGATATTCCCTGAAATGAAATTATTTAATTAAAAATAGGCAGTACGTGTATAATAGCACTATAAGAACAACTATTTATGAATGTGATGATTTTCAAGGAACTCATATGATAAGCAATTAGTTGAATTCAGTCGCCGATCGCGATTATGTTGAAATATACAATTCAACTTTTTAAACTCTGCGAGAAAGGTTTCTAGGCTAAAATAACCTATGCTCGTATGTAGACAGTATAACTAACTATATTGAGGCCTTCATTTTTTTTTTCTTCAACAATTTTAATAATATCCAAATTTGACTATATTGACTAACTTGAACAAACAAATGTATGGGGTGATTTAGTTTATATTTTTGTTACAAGGGTCATGTACGCATTTATGGCTAATCGATAATACTGCACCAGTTGGCCTAACTCGGGGAAGCAAACGGGTGACGTGACCATGCCGATTTTAATAATTTTGCGATTTTATTACAACACTACCCGTTATATATATAAAAAACTACGAAAAATAATAAATGTCAAAGAAATAAAATAAAAATAAACTGACTAAAAATATTAGTTTAGATTTATGCATGAAGTTTATACACCAACTGACGGCAATATTTTACGGAAAACTAGCATTGCGTGTGATATTTATTTTACAATAAAATTAAGAAATTCGGACAACACAATTAACTGCAGTTATCAATTTGATGGAAAATTTACAAATGTATACCCTCAATGACTGGTAGTGTCAATGATTCAAATGTGAAATATTACAATTGACAATTTGAATATCGTACATAATTATTAATCGTAAAAAAAAAAAGAACGATTTACTTATATAACAATAAAAATGTTATATATTAAAATAAAAGAGTGGTTATATTTTTTGTATACAGTTGCTGAGAGTATGTATGTATAAATTATAAGTTGTGACTAAGATCAGATATCGTCTAATACAGTGGTTCTCAAACTTTTTTGTCCGCGAAATCCTTATGTTTTCAAAAAAAAATGTACGGAGCCCCGAAAATCAGGAATTTATATTCAAGACAACAATAATTATTAATATTTCATATTGAGAAAAATACACAGTTCAAAATTTCATTTTTTTAAAGTTTGGATTTTGTTATTTGCCATGAAAACTTTGGTCATTTTAAGTTTTATTGATAAATTTACTTCATTTAATTTTGTGAAAATACCAGCCAAGTTATGAAGTCATTATAACCAAATTTTATCAGAAGTCTTAGTTGTAAATAAAATTAGTGTCACTAAAACGTATAACTCATTGTGTAATTCAGGTTACCAGTGTTTTTTCTTAATAACTAAGAAATTTAATAATATTTAAATTTAGATAATTAATATATGCCCACGGAGTCCCTAGGGCTCCACGGAGCACAGTTTGAGAATCATTGGTCTAATACAATAAAAATGTCACGTTAAATACGACAAAGGATCCGCTCTGTACTTAGAAAATTGCGCCTTGTAAATATTCAACGAAAGCCTGCTAAAACTTTAAACGAACGAGCTTTAAATGAACATTTATTAATCATTTCATACCAAGGTCAATGCTTACATTCAAAAGTTTTTCTGATTTTCGATTGTGTTCATAATTTCGTTATTGATGATATGTCTTTAGTTAACAGTTCTAGGTAAATGGAATACAAAATTAATAAAACATAAGAAATTACTGTTTGTTGAACACGCATGTATCACGTCAACACTTGACACACATTTGGTATCACTTGTCCAACAGAGACACTCTTAAAAACTTCTGATACTATCAATATTTTAAAATTACTCAGAAATACTCCAGAATGCATGTTAAAGTAACGCGAATTTGCTCTAGAAAAAATAATAACCAATATTCTAATTAAAACCAGACATCATCTACACCATCAATAACGAAACCATCTGCAGTACATAAAATTGATAATAAATAAATATATATGGACTTATGATAAACAAGCACATTTACGTTAAGATAATTATAAAAAAAAAAACAGTTGTATATAAATCTTTCCGGATATAAAATTAATAATGTAAGTACGAGTAATAATTCTTCTGTGATAATTTTAATAAATTTAAACATGTACATGTAACAATTAATCTGAAGTACAATAATAAAAATAATAATTTTAACAGTCTTAAAAAAAATAATATCGGATGATAAAATCTAAATTATATGGTAAGGAAATATTTTGCACTTAGTGAAACAAAGTGTCAGTTATATTTTTTTCCATATATTACTAAAGATATAGATTTAAAAATTAAAAAATAAAGATAGTTATAAAAAAATATCCAACTGTACGACACTGAAAATTATTTTTTTTGCTTCATCGCACATATAAAAATTATATAATCGTACATATGTCGCGGTCTAAAAGAAATACATCACTAAATTTTGTGAACACTTTTTAATAATTTTACTATTCAGATTTGTTTACCTTGAATTTCATATTTACTGTATTCAAAACTAATTAATGTTTTTATACCAGGAACTGGAACCGAACCGAAAGTAAAACCTTTAAAATCGTTAAGGTTCCAGTCTCTGTCTTAAACAAGACCATTTAATTTAAGTAAATTAAAAACGTGTAAGTGTTCAATTTGATCGTTACAATTACAGTGTCTTTTTCGCGATAGTTTAACAGCTGAATTTTACAAACAATTGATAATTACTGCGAATTGAGTACGTGCGATGCGCGGTGGTGTAGGTGCCTGTAAAGTAGGAGAAAACCTGTAAACAGGTGTACTGGATCGTTCATGATATCGTGAAGTGTTGAAAACTAATAATAATAATATGAAAAATGAAAGGGAAAAAGAATTTATAATTCCGCCGCATGTCGGTCGTATCAGCGATGGGCACCGGATATTTATTACTTCGATAAATCGTTCGTGTGAACATTGCGACACGCGTTATCGAGATTATTTTCGCCGTCGGCCGCGTCTGGTAATACCCGAGAGACGGTGACGACGATGCGTGCGCGTGCGAATGCCGTATTCATTCACTGCTGACTGACGGTGCGCGGAGTCGGCTTGAAACTGCGGCGGTGAACACTGTAATACTAACCGAAGTGGTTTTCCGTTTTTCCCCGGCAACCGATTTTCGAGTGTATTTGTTCCGAGTTCACGATTTCATCCCTAAACCATACCGTGTCCGCCGCCGCTGCCGTTTACGACAATTATTTACTTATTTTATGATCGTTCGTTGTGACACGACCGCCGCGGGTCTATATTATTATTTATGTTATCATTATTATTTTATACAACCAGAATTCTGATCAACGCGTTCATCGAAGAAACAACGATACTGCGACCGCCACACCCAACATGGATAGTATGTCTATGGTACGTGATCAATTTGATTAAAGTCGGTGCTCGGGGTTCGTAAGGTACCCAATCGACGTCTGACCAATAAGGCGAGTCGGAATATGGGGGGATGGAAAAGGATGACAGGACTTAATGTTGCTGCGGTAATGCTTTTGACACAAAAAATCAGTCGAAATTGAATTGTTGACGCGAATCGTGCACGAATAACGTGGACATCTTATACCATACCGTTTGCTCGGTTTAGGACCATTCCGGCGGGAGCCATCGCCACAGATAGTAAAAGTATTTCTGTTAATTACCAGTGCTTTTATTATCTGTAGCCACCCCACTTGCCTAAATCCGACCAGGTTCGTATTTGAACAATCGTTGGTCGATTTCCGTAGTTATTTTGTGCGCGCACGTTATTGCAAAATGTTGAATATTTAAATTGGTTTACCGTCGACCGACGGTGAACGTTAGAACGAACCAGGTTTGATGCAGTTTTCCGTCCAAAAGTACGAATTATCCACATCACTCGTGACACATTTAATCTCCTCGTCAAACCGTTCCCGTCGTAACATGTGTCCCTATACGAACTACGCGGATATCTGTGATACAGTTTATCGTCCGTCCAGCTTGTTAATTGTTTTCACGTTTTATCTTGAAAAACCAACGTTTCTGATTTCGCTATACACGTTTCTGATGAGATATGGTCGTACAAGTCGTACATTCGAAATCATTAAGATTGCACTCGATCCAAACAAGTAAATTATTTGAATTCAATTAGGCATGGCGAACGTTACATTTTATAGTTAACATATTTTTTTTGGTTCTTGACGCAGTTCATGTGCATGTAAATAAAAAATAATTGTTCATAATACATGATAATATACCTAATAATTAATAATATTATAATCAACAATAATAGTAATAAATAATATTGTTATGATGATAAAATCATGATACATCAATATAATTAAATCTTGAAGGAGATCTATATGTTCATCAATATTTTTCTAGTTGGCAAGTTTTATCATTCGTTAATCATTTGTGTTATCGTTATCGTATTTATTGCTCTGTGTTTCAGTGCTGTCGTCGAAGTTGGATATTATTACGTAGATTACGAGTAGGTAGTTTTATTATTGATTATGGAATAGTATGTTCTATAATATATTCAATGGTTTTACATGATCCGTGTTATTATTTCAAGTTTACTAAATTTTAGGCAATATTTATCTGTTTGTCAAATTAATTTTCATTTGATGATTTTCAAAATATTTGATTGGCACAACAGTAGTGTAGAATATATTGAATGACGTTATTATGACGTGTTCACGTAGAAACGTAATTTTTTGATAATTATAGGAAATTGTGTAAATAATTGTTGTTTGTAAGTTGAACAACTTTTATTATTTCACGTTTATTCATTAAGAGTCTATATTTAGATTTAACATTTACATTAACAAAGTAAATTGTATCATGTTAGTAATAAGCAATGCTAAGATTTATATGAATTTGCATGTTTTTTTTTCTTTAAATCCAAATTAATCGGTTTTCAGTATATCCACGATTTGGTTTAACGTCGATTACATAGAAACATTTTTTTTTTTCATATTTTTGCATATTTTGAACATAATACATATAATTGCTTATTCATTTCATAGATACTTGAGAATCTTGTTAATTTTGTTAATTTTGAAACTTAAATTTTCAAGTTTTTAAAATACTGTTATTTTTAAATGTTATTTATTTAATTAACTTTATTTTTCGAACCGTCGTAAATATTCTATATACATTATCTTATCTTGGTAGGGCGACCTATATAATTATCCACACATTATTTAACGATGCACTTATTAGAAGTCTGCAGGAACCAAAAATGTTAGGTTCGGCCCGGTCCACATTTTCTGTTGACGTATAAAGTCCGTTTCACAGCCACAGGTATCGTTTGTGACGTTTTAAAATTAGATTATTTAAGTATATACATGCCAAATTGACGAGGGCGAATATGGGTTTTTTGTGATCGACGCGTATAAAAATAAACAATGTAAGTTTAAAAACATCAAGTACAAGTTTCTTACATTCTGAAAAGAACCCGGCCTGAACCGACCGTAATAGATTTAAAAATGTAAAAGGCCGGCCAGGAGTTCATGTCTTGTTAGAAAAAAAAACCCGGTTTGGCCTGGATTTAAATTTTAAGGGCCTGGCCCATGTTGGTAGTACTTATATTGTGAGGCAGCACAGAAATATTTTATTTCATTAGTACGACTTATAAACTATATTAGTATAAACTAATTAATATAATAATTACAAGTTATGATAAATAATAATTCTAGAAATAATAAAAAATTAATTTTTGCATATTTTGGTAAATAAAATGCATATTATACAATTTTTAATTGCATATAAATCCTAGCTCTATTAATAAATGTCTTCTTGCCTATACATAATATGTAATTATAATATAGTTGATAAATTATTAATTTTTAGTCACTTTCACTAATACACTTAAGTTGTACATGATACCAAGTGACCGACCTATTAATTATACAACGATATACTCGTTGGAATATTACATATTTTCTTTGATAACTAATGAAATCTTTTAATTTAAATTACATACATCAAAATTCTTTATTATTACACCGTGTCTTATGTAAGCACAACAAATATGAAAATCGTACGAAACGACAGGTTTGATTCTAAAAATGAATAAAACACCCTAAACAAACGGAAATGACTTACAAGAAACGACAAGTATGATTTTTTATATGCGTTTAGTCGTACAAATTTAAAAATAAAATTGTTTTTAGTTGTGTTTGCCATAAGCATTTAATTAAAACACAAAACAATATTCAAATGTATGTTTTTAAATTAAAAATTAATATTTAAAATATTTTAATCATTATTCGATACTTACATTTAATAACATATTGTTGTCATGAAACTGTGAACACGAACAAAAAAAAAATTATTGTGTGATAAGAAATATAGAATAATTTGTGAAAGAGAATAGGATGCACACATTATTATAACTTATTAAATATGTATATTTTTAAAATACAATTTAATTCTAATTTCTTTATGTTACTAAGTAAAATAATATGGTAATTTAAAATTAAAGTAATAATTTAAGAAATTATAAAATCTCCGAACATCAATACAGATAACCACTATTGCTATTACTATAAAAAATACAAATTTTGTATCACTAGTCGCAAGACACAAGTTTGTATTAGTCATGTTTACATATGCTGTATGATCGTCGTAAAACAGAATGAAAAATGTGATACGAAATCGTAGGCATTGGTCGCAATTACGTACTTGCTGTGTTTTCATAGGACACGGCAATAATGTATTTTAATAATCAGTACTAAAATTTGTATACATGTTACGAGCAATGTAAACATTGCTCGGGAAATTTCGTCCTGCCTTGGAAATTTGAACCTTAAGTAGTAATAAATAATTGTTATACTTATAGTAACTTATAATAACTGTACAACGTTTTACTAATAATAATAAGAAGTTTAAAACTTTTTGGTAAGATATTTTTTTTTTGCGCGTCTTTTGCACATTTAATGAAAGTCATGGAACTCAACTCGTGACATTAAGATATTATGTCGGCTCGTGGACATATTTTTGTATTTTGAATTATAAACGCTCTAGGGCATTGTGTACAAATATAGTGAAGTATAGTGCATAGGAACAGTTATTAAATTAAAGTTAAGTTATGGACGCGGTTAAAATTATTTATGCCTAGTTATTTCCGCGATTACGTTGTAGGGACGGGTGTTCATTATTCCGATTGATTGAAGACGGAACATTTTCATCTTGACCGCGGATAGATATCGAAAAAGGTGAAATTTTAAGAATGAATGAACACGAAAATGGCAGATATAGTATTATAAAACTGTTTTCTTCTATGATCATATATAAAGTTGGTAATTCATTACATAACTTCCGTGCATTTGAGTGGTAATGGAATGCGTAACAAATAGTAATCATCGGGTTTCGTTATTGTCGTAATTGTCATATTTTCTTCTTCTGCCGCGTTGAAACGATGTGTTCTGATCGGTTCGCGTTCGCGTTTACAGCATATGCGGCACGTACGGTGCCCGACCTGCTGGCGGGTGTTCTGCTGCGCCAAGCACCGAGTGGAACACGAATATCGCGCACACATCACCATTCCGATGGCGGCACCGCCCACGATGATCAGGCGCCGGTGTCGGTTGAAGACCGTCGGAAATATTCGCGTGGCCACCAACGTCGGCGTGGTCAACAATCGGAAGAGACGGCACGCTTCCTCCGTCGACCCCGTCCAACCTGCTGTCGGTCTACGAATGTTGGACCAGAATCAGCAGCTACACCAGCAGCAACAACAAAAGCAGAAGCAGCAGCAGCAGCAGCAAGAGCAGGAGCAGCAGCAGCAGAAAGAGCAGGAGCAGCGACAACAACAACTGGAACAGTTACAACGGCAACAGGAGCAGGACCAGCAACTGCAACGGCAACAACATCAGCAGGAACAGGAACAGCTGCAACGGCAACAGGAGCAAGATCGGCAACTGCAACTGCGTGAACTGCAAGAGCAACAGAAACAGGATCCGGAGCTACAACAACTGAACGATGCGGTAGTACCACCGAGGCCTATACTGAAAGCTCACCGGTCTAGCCTGTCTTTCGCAAAGAACCTCCGTCCGGTGGCCGAAAGCAGTCCGATGGTGCCTCTGCCGTGTCCGTCCATCACACAATCACAAACCGATTCTGAGCCACCTGTGTCCACATTATCGTCGGGTCCATCTCGGTCGCCGTCGTTTGCGCCTCAGTCGACGTCGCTTCTGTCTCCATCGACGTCGCTTCTGTCTCCGTCATCGTCGTTTCCGTCGACGTCGCTTCTGTCTCCGTCGTCATCGTTTCCGCCTCCACTGACGTTGTCTCAGTTGCAGCCATCCCAGTTGCCTTCTCCGTTTTCTCCTCAGTTACCATCACCACCGTCGTGTTCGTTACAACTTATCCAGTCTGTGTCTGCACCGTCCGGGCCTTCATCGCCGCCGTGCACGCCATCCACGATGACCCCAGTAGAGCCGACCGGCATCGAGACACCCGTCGGATCGATATTGGACAGTCCACCGAGTTTCTACCAGACTCCGATGCAGACGATGCCCTCGTATGCTGATCCCACGTCACCGCCGACTGAGGTCGTCAGTTCTGCGAGTTTAGTCATCTTTAGCGACAAAAAACGTAAGCCTACCGTGAGCGACAACGATTCGACGACGGCGCAAAAAGGTGGTGGTGAGTATGGTTTACTTTTTTTTTTTTATTATTATTTTCGTAATTATTCGGTTCGATATCTATGGATTTGTTTTTCGGAAAGCGTTATATCTAATTTCTTGATATTCGTTAAGAAAAAAAAAATACTTGATTAATTCAATGGGTTAGGAAGATAACGAAACTCTTTTACCTTATTATACTGGTTCCCAAACTAGGGGGCGTGTACACATTGCTGTGGAGGCCCAAGCAGTTATTACGAAATACAATTGTCATTGATTAGTTCCCATTATTGTATATAGTTTATTTGTATAGTACACAAAAAAAATGATCGATTTTTTTAAATTTATAGAAGATAGGGCGCGAGATTTTTGAAAGTCTACAAAGTGGGCGTAGAAAAGAAGATGTTTGGAACCACTACCTTAATTTCAAATGTGACGCACAAGAAATAATCACGAAAACGTTTAATATTTTATTTAATGTTTAAGAGCTTAAAATATACAATTTAAAATAGTAGGATTGTATGTAAATATTTCAAAATTTAAATAATCATAGTCGACGGTGGCGTATACGAAGAGTGTAATAAATAGGTGTCAGATTCTTAATTAGTTTTTTATTTTTAAAAAAATATTTGCGATGTTAATTTTTGAAAAAAAAATTGTATGACTTGTATTATTAAATTATTTTGAATTATTTGTACTCATGTAATACGTACAAAGTTATCCGTGCTTATTTTTTCCCCCTTCTATGCTCACTTGACCACATGTCAATCGTATACATTTTTTCATCTTTTACCAATTCATTATTAATGTGATATAATGTATTTTAATAGCGTTATATTTAACATGATCTATTAGCATATCCAAATTAATTTATTTTCAGTATACTTTAATATTTTTTTTTTATTTTTGCATATTTTAAATATAATACAAAAATAATATAATAATGTAAATAATATTTATTATAATTATAGATATTTGAGAATCTTGTTAATTTTGTTAATTTTGAAACTTGAATTTTCAAGTTTTTATAATATTGTTTTTTTTAATAATATCTAATAAATTTAAATGGTATTTAATTAAAGAATGTTTATTTTTCGAATCATCGTAAATATACTACATACATAATCTTATCTTGGTTGGACGACCAATATGATTATCCACACATTATCAAATTATTAAATAATGTATTGATTAAATGTTAACGACGTACTTATTAGAGGTCTGAACAGGCAAAAAATGTTAGGGCCGATCCGGCCCAGATTTTCTGCTGACGAATAAGGTCCGTTTCACAGACACGTATCATCCGCGATGTTTTCGAATTACATTATTTAAGTTTATACACGCCGAACTGATGAGGGCACGTATGAATTTTTGCAATCGGCAATATGAACGTTTGGCTTTGAAACGGACCAAAAGACTTAAAGATGTATTTCCAAAGCCCGGCTAGACCCTAATGAATGTTTTATCACTAAAATTTAATTTTTATACAAGTTTTTTACATTTCGAAAAAACCCGACCCAAGGTCTGTGTTTCGTTTAATAAAAGTCCAGCTCGGGCTGGATTTAATTTTAAATGGTCTGGCTCATGCAGATATTAGTACTTAAATTGTGAGATAGTACAGACATTTTTCATTTCATTAGTGCGACTTTTAAACTATATTAGTATAAATTAATATTTAATGTAATAACAAAAAAATTATGATAAATAATAATTTTAGAAATAATAAAAATTTGTTTTTGCATATCTTTGTATATTTTGGTAAATAAAATACATATTATACAATTTTTTATTGCTTATAAATCTTGGTCCTAGATATAAGATTTATCATTTCAAAATATTTTGCAGTAGGATTTTTCTGGTCGTACATGGCCCGTCGTTTCCGGTTGGCGCTGCGTCCGGCCAAACCTAAAGTACCCAACAGTAATCCTCCGTCGCCCACGCCGAGCACGAGCATAGCCACGTCTTACGGTAACATCCAACCGAGGCGACCAATCAACGACGACGCGCCCTTCACGCCCGTTCACGCAAGGCCGGCGCTGGAGGCCATCAGACGGGCCCACGAAGAAGCAAGCAAGATCACAGGCAATATTTTGGGTAGTTAGAGTAATGTATTTTTGACTTACCCTGTAAGTTGTAATCGTATTTCTCGGTTAGCTATTATTTGATTACAATATTCATTTTTTACTTTTTAACGATCTTTTTTTTTTTTTAATGTTTAACTTAACCAATGAACATAGTTAATACATAGTTAATATAGTTAATAAATAATCCTCATGCATCATTGTTCGCAAAGTATAATTTTTCATTATTTCAAAATACTAAACGTGTGTTTCTCATTACATAAATATTCGTATTTTATTTTTCATTTTTTATTTAACCTATCGAGGAATTGTTTTTGCATTATTGTACAATATTTTTATTAGATTAAAATATAACAGAGATCGTTTATCTGCAGATAGAAACTACTTTATTTATACGGTTTTAAAATATTATCAACCAGTGCCGTAACTAGAATTCTTGAGAACCTGGACACAATTAATTTACGGGGCCCTGAGCGGAAAATCTAGCGATTTTTTTGTTTTCATTTTCTTTTTTTATTTTTCGTTTTCTTTTAGTAGCTTCGCTTAATACTGCCTTAACATTGACATAATTTTTAAATCCATCGTGATTACTATTTACTAATAACCAAGGCTTGGAACTTTAGGCATTTGCATATTTGTCTAAAAAGTGCATATTGAAATTCTGATTCGATACAAATTCAATTCATAATATGTATATTTCATATGTATTTTTGTTGCATAATTTTGCATATTTTGTTACTTTTTGTACCAATTCACATATTTAGGGTTTAAGAACATTTATATGCATATTTCATAGATTTAACAACATTTTTTAAAAAAATGTATCTATAGTTTAATAATAAAATATTAGATATATGACAGCCAAAATTCTAAGTTTTATATCGTTTGACAAAATAAAATAATTCATCAATGGCTATTATTTGTATTACTCCGGCTCCCAATGCACTTAACAATAATATTATAATCTTTATAGTACCGAGAACTCGTAATAGTGACCACCGCCGGCCCGTATTTATTTTTATACAAATTTACCACTGTATTAATATTTTGTAACATGACATATTCTAATCTTATAACCATAGGTAATTCGTAAAGAATGATGTTTAACCATTAGGTTATCAGCTTATACACAAAATTATTTTTGTTCGTTATATTACTGCATACATCTGCATGCAAGGGCATATTTGAGTTGAGGTCGGAGGGGGAGGGAAACTAATTTTTTTTCAATACAAATTTAAAAGTAATTTACAATTCATAACTGTGGCGTACCTAAGGGGGGGGGTTTTGGGTCCGGATCCCCCATTGAAATTTCTACATATTCAATGGTTTAATAGTAAACAGTATATAGCGGAGATAGCGAACCTATGGCACGAATGCCAAAAATGGTACGTTGATCAAATTTTAATGGCATGCTCAAAAAATTGAAATTATATAAAATTGAAAAATTGTACAAAAAAAATTTTTTTACTATTTATAAAATGTTGGTTGTAAGAAATTCAAATAAACAAATTATACATGTTTTAAAAATTACAATTTTCTTTATGTTTTCATATCTTTTGTCAACCTATATTCATGAAAGCTTATTTGCCATAAATATGTAATTAAATCGAAGGAAAGAAAGGTTTTGACCAACGAAACAATTGCTACTTGTGTTTTACTAAGAATGAAAAAAATTTAATAAAACTAAATGTAATAAATCTGTAATTTTGTTTATAGTCTTAGAAAATAAAATTTTCTTTGGGCACGTAAACGGTTTTCAAAAACTAAAAAAGAAAAATTTGGCACTTGAACCTAAAAAGGTTCATTACCCCTGGTGTATAGTGTATTTTAATTTCCCATTATCTTCAATATACAAAGTTTACAGATTATATAATATATCTATAATATATAAACCATGTTTAATTTATACTGATTTTTTAATATTATTTATTATTATTAATTAAATAATATATTTTTTTATAACATTTTACTACCTACCAAGTAAAAATTGATTTCAAATGACAGTACCTACCTATTATAGTAAACCTTTGTGAAGAATATGTGTGATGTGTATATAACTATTTTGACTATTACTATGGTTATTAACAGTAATTTGTTGGTATTGACTTAAACTATAATTACAATTAGAGTACAGATAAAATAAAAATTTTGGACCCCCTCCCTTAAAAAATTCCTGAGTACGCCACTGGTTCATTACCTACAGCTCATGTTCCTGTTGCTCATTTGAACGAATAAATAAAAATACAAGTGCCAAATTGAATTAAATATTTATTTAGTAAATATATTAAAAACCTACTGCATATAAAATAAATATTAATAAAAACAACATAAATAGTTCTTGTATTAAAATTGTACCGTTAGTCTGAATTCTGTGTAAAAAAAAAACAACAAATAATCGTAGTAGGAATATAGTACCTATTAATTATTTTTTAAAAACTTTAAAAAACAATTAAGATAGGTAACTTAATTTAACAAATACTTAAGTAGACAATATAAGATTGGTAAGTAGTCAAATTACAAATTACAAATACCAAAATTCTTTTTTCCATTTTGGCAACTTTGTTGATTGTTTCATCAATAGATACAATAATATCTTTATGCACATGCAGCAAACCCAAACATATTAAACTATGCTGGCTTATTCTTAATCTTAACCATGTTTTCAATTTACAAAAATATATTTTTGGCCAATATTTGCAAGTTAAAGAATATGGAAACAAATATTGTAAGTTACTATGATTATTACTTGGATTAGGGACTTCTAGCTCTATAAAATACACAAATATGCATGCATTTGTGCACAAAAAAAATGACTAAATACCTATACACAACAAAAAGTACCAGATATTATGTTTTAAAAAGAAATAGGCGAGTAAAATTATTAAAGACTTATATAGCTCTAATAAATAAAAAATATACAATATGCATAAATGCACCAAAAAATGTCTAGTAAATATGTGGTAAAAAAATTGTTACTTTAAATTACTTTATATTATCTGATAAATACCTCGGTTATGTTTATAAATGTCTATAAGCATAGCAATATCCGTGGAAGATAATACCACTATTTGTTCCAAAACCAAAAATGTTATGATATAAGAAGATAAACAAAAATTGATAACTGTGACCAAATTGACATATTGAGTTTATTATTATATTATAATGATAGACTAATAATTTATATTCCTAATTATTTATACATTACATTTTTTAAATAAATCAATGTATTATATTCAAAAAAAAAAATGATCCATGGGGGAGGCGAATGTCCCCTTCATCCTCCTCTCAAATACGCCCTTGCATGCAAGATACTTCATTGTACAGAGTACACTAGTCAGTAGTCTGTCTATTATTTTTTAAGCAATTATTTTACAATTTTCTACTGCATATTATACCGCATATTTTGATGTTTTTTAACGCATACGTATGCGCATATTTTAGTATTTTTTAGCGCATTAAGTTCCGAGCCTTGCTAATAACTAATTAGATATAATATCTTTAAGACGTAAAAACGATGAGACTATAAGAATATCGTTAAACACTCAGTCGAACAAGCAATAATGGAGGGGTGAGGTCCCCCGCTACATGCCTATATAAATATGCCACGAACGGCGATTACAATAATTATTTCGGGCATCCCAATGGTATGTATAAAAATAACTCAATGCATAACATTATAATATTATTATATTATATTAGTTATTTATTTTTTTTAACATTATAATATGTTATCTATAATATTATAGCTTATAGTATATCAATGTGCGATCCGGAGGGCCCAGTTCTGATAAAATTGTAATTAATAAAAATAATAACAATATACAATCGTATAATTATAAAAATAAATTCGCTAAATAATTTTTATGTTATTTATCATAATGAAATTATTTAGAGGGATTATTTTGTTCAATGTTTCCAAGTTGAATACAATCCGTATTGATAAAAATGTAGGAAATTATGATGAAAACATATATTTGGTTAAAAATCACTTATATTAATGGCGTAAATGGACATTTAAGTATATAAATATATAAATGTTTTTTTTTTTGTAAAATGAAAATTTTTATTTTGGAATTTTTGTACATAAATAAATTTGATTACATATTATTCTATGGAATTAATAATTTTTTAAGTTTTTGCACAAAGTAACTATCAATTTTTCATTAGTTGAAACGATATATCTATTGTAAACAACATAATATTCTTGTATATTACTCGTATATGGTATTGATTTTTTTTTTAATTTTTGGTTTATTATAAAGTTTTGTCATTTTTAACAATTATAGAGGAGGACGTTTATAAGTTCGCTGTTTTCACGAATTGTGTGCGTGTTTTTTTTTTAATATTTCACTAAAATTGAAATCGAACATTGCTAAAAAACAGGTTAAGTTTTAAAATAGCATACTAGTGCCGATAGAAATACAATATAAATTCTTATTGTGTTCAAGCTCTTGAAGTGGAACAGCAGAAAGTTCGAGAATGAAAATAATTTCCCTCGTATATATTTTTACAATATGGTGTACACTCGTTTACATCGAAACAGCGATTAATAGCCACCAATCTCAACTTTCATAACATTATTTGGTCCGTAAATTATGTTTGTTTGATTCGTTCGCAAACAGTCAGAATTGCTAGTGCAATACGACAACGCAATTTAACTCTAATCTATTCTAGGCCTGATGCATACGTACTGTTTTTACAAGCGCGGTGCCGTAACGTCACCGTGGCCGTTATATACACACGTGAGCATATTTTTACTAGAAACCGTTCTCCAGCATTCCGCCATCACTTGTCAGTACCGTAATGGCGTTGTAAAAATGGAGATATACAGGAGTTATTTTCGCGTACCTTGTGTATAAAAAGTATATCTTAAAAAAAAAAGACGATATTGGGTACACCCATTCACTGATAGTCGTCTCACATGCAAAGGCGTACTTAGATCTACCTCTAGGGGGGGGGGGGGGGGAACTCAAATATTTTCTTTCAATTAGGCTCAAAATATACAAGTCATATTTTTGATTATTTAAAGCAGGTGAATTCTTAATATTTGTGGTTTTTTTTTAATCTAATGCCCGATCCACCTAGAATCGACTTTTGTGTAGTTCTTTTCTAACATCCGTCTGTGTTTTGAAAGTTACGCTCGTGTTTTATTTGATATTTGATATTTCACTAATTATGGACTGAACAAAAATCCCAATTCAGTATTTACAGCCACACGTAATTTGATTTCGTTATAAAATGATCCACATTGAAAAAAAATGTAATGTGTATATCACATACTCGTATAATCGATTCCTTAAATACGGATTCAGTGGGGTGGGACGATCACCCCCTTGGTCCTCCATAAAATAACCACTTGCTCACATGCGGGATATTTTATAAATATTTTAATAATCTTCGAGAAAATAATGAGAAATACTTTATTCATTTTCGAAAGAGCGTGAAATAATTTGACGAGTTGGCTGTAAAAATGTCAACAAAAATTAAGTCTCAAAATACATATATGAGATTTTCTGTACCACCACTAGAAATGATCACTATTATGTTTCGGCAGCAATATTCCAAATTTTTTTTATTTCCCTGATGAACAGCTCAATGTTAAAACTCTCTTCAAAATGTTTATATTTTATATATTTTTTTTTTTTTTTTTTTTTTTTGCGGTACCGTGGCGGTGCCTTGGGGACCTTCGAGACACGATCGCCCATAAGTTGACGCGCAGTACCGCAGCATTACCGCGCGTTCGTGTGCATAGCCAATCTAGTTGTGAGTAACAAAACGTAAACGCGATACCGCAGCGGCACTGCACGTTTTAAAAACCGCATGTGTGCATCAGGCCCTAGTCGAGAAAAACGTATACGTTGCAGTGCATTTGGAAACTTTTCCTTCGGGATTTTTCCCGTGCGCTCTACTGTTCGTTGTTCCGTTGGGCTTTTTATAACAGGTCCTTGCTCTGCGCCGTCGGAGACTCGAGGGTGGTAATAATTATACACGCGCGATAACCTGACTGTCCGTCCTGGTATCCAATTGTAAAGGGTTCGACGGCCGCGCCGCACAGTGGGACGGGATGGGGAACACGCGAGGAACCGTGTGCCGTAGTGGTGCGACGCCTAAGGGTTTGGCGACGAGTCCGCGAAGGCGATGCCGCGTGGAGCGACAGTGGAGCGCGACAGGTGGCGCGGTCGGCGGATGACCCGGTCAAGAGGCCGCCGATGTTTTACCTGTCCGCGTCCGCGTCCGCCGTCGCACCGTGTCAGTGTCCTGTCCGCGCGTCCGCACGTCACTCGCGATCGTCTCGCCACGACTGGCGAAAGCGCATCGCACGGCCCGCCACGAGCAACCGCACCGAGAGGGTACTATCGAAAAGCGACGAAGTACGTCCCGGAGACGAGTACTCGAGCGCCCATCACACAACCCTTGTTCACCTGATAGTGTGCGCTGTTCTCGGTCCGCCGTAGCCGTCGTCGGTTTTCGGAACGCGTGCTGCTGCTGCTGCTGCTGCGGCCCCGTTGAGATGTGCAACCCGACCGACCCCGGTTGAGCGGCGACCGGACCGAAGGGGAACCGTGGCCATGTCCGCGGTCCATGAGTCGTGCCATTCAAAGTGAAACCCGGCGAATGGGACTATGGGAATTTGTCTGGACACAGGTACATGCACGCATTGAATGTTAACGTTATCACTACCAGCATACGTGCGTACCCACCCGGTCCTGTAACGTGCGTGTCCTCGAGACTCGTACCGTCCATGCGTCCCGGTGATTTCGCAAATGCCCGAACAGGTGGCTGCGAAAACACGCTCGTGAGGAATTGTCGCGCCGCGGGGGCCGGAAGAATGCAAACCGATCCGGGGTGGTGTTTCGCAACCCCTACGCTGGGTTCCTACGGGAGAAGGTGGGTAGCAGATAAGTGTTCTCCGCAGAGAATCGAAACTCGTATGTGTGCCTAGAAACGAAAACCTAGGGAATTATGGAGAGGAGTCAGGCTTAATTTAGTAGGGAGGTAGGCAATTTAACAATACTCGATGTTCGATTTTCAGACGATAACCAGACATTAATACGCTTATATTATGTAATTTATATTATTAGAGTACGGCAGTCAATTTTTTTTTCATATGTGTGTATTGAATACTTTTGTTTTTACCCTCTCCCCCATAATTCCAACTAGTGTTCGTCTCGAATTTCCGATGAACTTGTTTGTTTTTATTTTGTGAGTATAATGCGGACAATTGTGTCTAGATTCATGCGTGTTGAAACGATTTTAGCTACCGAAAAATAATGTATACTTGTGTGGCGGACACTTGACCCTCGAATTCGCTTTCAATGCACAGACATCACCTTTAACGTAATAGCGGTTTTCGAATCGTATCTGTTTTATGGTTTCTGGTGTAAAATGGATTTTTCTTTATTCACTGAAAGGAAAACGGGAGTGTGACTGGAATTTACGTTAAAACGCTCAATATACTTACTACTATGATTATAGTGGCGCAACGAGGATTGGTTTTCAGGGGGGGTTTGAATTTGGAAAAAATAAGCATTTTCTACAGGTGTTTGGGAGGGATAAGGAAGTAAGATTAAGTTAGGTTTATGAGTAAAATATTTAAATTGCAAATTAAACCGTTTAACCTCAATTTTATATTGTGATACCACAAAAAAAAGTATTATACTATCGACTATCGAGAAATCATAGTAGCAAGGTTACTGATGTTCTAAAGTTGAACGGGACGTTATAAAACGTTCCATATTGTCATGTTATTATTATTATCAATTATGAAACTAATAATATTCATATTTCATATCAATCAGCCATTTCATGTCTTCAAGATAAACCATTTTTTTTCCTACGTAGAATTTGTAAAAACCTCAGAAAAAATTCGGGGGGGGGGTCACAACCCCCAAACCCCACCCCTAGTTGCACCACTGACTATGATATTCGTTTTAACTATTCGTTCGTATTTACAACACGATCGTATTATACTGCGCGTGTTCCATGATATTAACTATTAAACCTTAATTAGAATCGAAGACTCGTTGTAAGCTTATTGGTTACTACAAACTAAGAAGTATAAAATTACCAAACACACGTATATATCGCAACATCTGAATTCTAGAATTTTTTAGTTTCTTTTTTTTTTAACCGATTGTGTACATTTAAGATTTTCGTTTAAAACCAATACCATCAATTGTTTTTTTTTTAAACATAACAAATTTTATTTTGCATCACGAAATGTGTTTGTACTCGAAAAATATCAAATATTTATGTACACAGGTGTATCAATAGTCATTATAACTACTTTACAAAAGGCTATGGGTATAATTTTAACCTTGTGCAGCAATCAAATAAATGGGTATTTGTAGAATTAATTTGAAATATAATTTTCCTAATACGTATTACAATTTATATAAATGGTCGAATCATTCTTAGCTTACCCTATTTTATGTATTTATTTACTAGCACATAAAATAGTTGAACCATATTTAAGTAAACAAATGTGGATAAAAATACTACTGTTGAATATAATATATAAACTCATACAAACTCGGATCATGTTTGATTTTTATTCATTTATTTTGATTATTATTAAAAAAAAAGTTTAGTTACACATTACAAATAATGATATCATGTATACATTTAGTTATCTATCATAATTATATTTATTTCAGTTAAATATACATTTTTTAAATTAATATAATGTCTATTAAGTAAAACATTTTAATTCGTTTTATCTGTATACAGTTTTTATTTTAAATTCGTATGTTGCATACAGATTTCGACTAAACATCAAACCTCATGCATTGAACTGCTTTAAACCCTTAGTTCTTTAATTTAATCTCTTGTTGTATGAATTTAAAATAACTTAAAACTGCATTTCTATTACTTTTCAAAGTTATGTAAATGTACGGTCCTATCAAACACGAAATATTTATAAAAAATACTGGTTTATTGCGTAATGTTCTACCATAAATTGTGTAAAAAAATATATGAAATAAAATAAATATTTTACTTATATATATTTTGAATATTTTAATAGTTTGCCCATATTTACTTAAGTTTAATATATTATGCATTTTTAACTAGCTGTCAATAAGGCAATAAATTATGTTATATGTCTACATAAACAATTCGATAAAACAATATTTTTTTCACATAAAATTATATTATATTTACTATTGTTAAATTTATTTGGTAAACTTAACAATTGTTTTAATGACCATGGACAAATAATAAATAAAAGTCTTTTGTAATACCATGCGTTGAATCGAATGCAGTTGCATTTGCATTAGTGTTAAACTGTACCATTCATTATTAAATAATGAATGGTACAGTATAAATTTTATACTATTATTATAGTCATACGATTTGTTTGCTTAGAAATTAGTTGAAAGTGTTCAACCTACCTATAAAACGTGTTATAATATTAATTTCGGTAACGTTTGTAATACGTCCGGTCGGGTACGACTGTTCAATATCTGCATGATTGAAAGCGATAGTAGGGGGAGTAAATTGTTTTCCGAAGAATTAACGTTTTTAGTTTAAAAATTTAAAATTCCATTTCGCTTCGTTAACGATATTATTTTCGAGCTCTGAATTAAATTGCAATTTCAGCATGATACTATGACGTGTTAATAATTATAGCATTACATACCAGTCGACTGTGTACGAAAACTTATATTTTTTTCGGTTGTGAGTAACAGAGTTTCCATAGTCCCCACCACTCAACTTAATCCAAACACTAAATATGAAACTAACTTCAGGAGTCAATGCACTCCGCAGTAGTTCTACGGGCTCCGTAAAATTTAATTGAAAAGATGAAATAAATATGGATGGGCCGATACTATTTTTTACTAATATCCTATAATCCGATACATGCAATCGATGTATAACCGATATACATTAAAAATAAACTTTTTTGACAAAAACCATGAACCGATAATAAAATTAATCCGATATTACAAACTGATACCCGATTAAACCGATATTACATAATATAAGTAAGTAAGTACGTAGTTTTATTTGCAAATGAGGTATTATGATATAAACATAGCATTAAACAAGTATCTAAAGAATAAATATAAATATATGAATGAATAACTAAAAATTGTTTGCTTATTAGTTTTTTTACAGTTTTTTTAGTTTGAAATGGTTTACAAAAAAATTCAATTTCCTTTTAAAGTTTTGGCAAATAAAACAATAAAAAAAAAAATAATAATTCAAAAAAGTCAAAAAAATTTAATAAAATTAAATAAAATGTAAAATACTTAACAAATTTATTGAAAAAATAACTAATAATTAATTATGTTGGTTATAAGTCACAACAGATTTAACAAATATGAAAATAAAAATAAAATTAAAAAAAAATAATTATTAATTTCATTCTATATACCATATTAAATATTAAGTGAAGTATTATTGACAATAATTTTTACTATTTGTACTATCCATATTTTGTGATAGTAAAATATTATTTTATGCTAGTTCCTTTTTTTTTTTTTATTTTGTGCGGTATTGGTTATAAGATCGGCCCATCCTTAGAAATAACACGGTCGAAGTCGCCAAACAAAATACTATGAAAGCCTATTTCGCAGTGCAACGTTGTCAGGCGACGAAACGAATAACGTTCAAACGGTGCCGCCGCACGTGATATATACGCAGAAAGGAGTATTGTAATCATCGAACGATCAGCCGATTCGTCGTGTTCGTGTATTTTGCGTGACGAAACGCTTGGCTTATGGATTTCAATGTGACAGTGGTGGTTTTGATAAAACATAAAAGGGGAAGAGGGGTTTTCAATTTGTTGTCCCCACCCTAATTACATATATCAAATAAAGAATACAATTTGTCTAAGATTCTATTATAAATTGCATCCTTTTCATTTTTTGTTTCATAATTGAAATGGTTTAATTTTATTGGAATATAAAATATAGTAAGAAGTCTATCGATTTGACTTTAATCTGAAAAATCCGATCAAATCCAACTATTAATAATATTCATTAATTCTAGCTGTAGGTCTGTATTTTTTGATAACGTTTATTCGTATATTGTTATCAATTCAATATTTCATGCTGATGCGAAAAGAAGTAAATACATTTTTTTTTTTAAAAAAAAAAAATTGAATAATACGACGTACAAAACATAACAGTCGACAAAAAAAAAAAAAAATCCAAGGGGCGGACGAGCGCCTCCTTCACTCCTCTAAAAATCGCTACTGCAATGCGATTTAATAAACATCGCCGTGGACGTTTCTAAATACATGCAAAACGTTATGTCAAACATTGTGCGTAGCTCGGCACTTTTGGGCTGTTGGTCGTCACGTTACACTATCGCAATGAAAACCCTAGACATACAGCAGCGGTATAATAGACTGTAAATATAATGTGCTTATACAAGGTGATTCACCAAGCATAAAACTCATTATCTCAAAAACTATTTACTTTTTTCAAAATGTTAGATCTATGCTGTTCTTGAATTATATATTGGTTTAATATTTTTCACTCTTATATTTATTAGTTAAACCACCTTCAACTTTTGATTTTCAAGTGGCAACCTATACTTAAAATGTCATAATTTAGTAAGGTTTTTTTTTCTTATGAATCATCACTTTTAAATTTTCATTTTCTGTTTATCCATTATCGAGATATAATTCCTCAAAG